ACACAGGAGCTCCTGGGATTCCAGGTACCTCAAGAGGTAAAATGTTCATAACTCTCACCTTAAATATTCTTATTGTTTGTAGAACAAATGTGGGTTTTTTTCTGTAAATCATGAATGGTTCATAGTCATTTTAAAGAACCAGTTGATTTCCAACAGGATCTAAATACCATATTTATCATTTTCAGGCTCAGTTTCAGTCACCGCAGGCCCCCCAGGCCCTCCAGGTCCCCCTGGCCCAACTGGCCCCACTGGCCCCGCTGGTTCTTTCGCTTCCTCTAGTGAGATGCGGCAGTACATCAGTGACTATCTGAGTAAGCATCTTTCTGAATAGACGTTACAGGTTATTAAAAGAGCAGCGCAGTTGATTAATTAGCTCTTTTTTTTCTCCACAGGTAGATACAGACTTAGTGGTATGCAAGGTCCTCCAGGCCCACCTGGGCCTCCAGGACTCCCTGGAACCTTCTCAGGGTCAATGGAGGACATCTCTGCTCGTGTCGTTGCATACATTCAACGTGAGTTTTTTTTATTAAATGACTGATAATTACTCACTTATGACTTAGAATGAGTGAGATAGAACAGCTTTTAACTGTATTTTGTGTATCTAGGATCTGATTCAGGCCTGAGAATTGGTGTTCAGGGCCCTCCAGGACCACCTGGCCCTGCCTCTGGATCCCTGACGGTCAGTGCTCTCATCGCCATGCTTCAGAGTGAGTACAGTCTATGCCCAAGCAGCCTCAGWTTCAGATTAACCCTCTGTGTCTGTCACTGTAACTCAAAAGTGCTTTTTCTAGAACATGCACACAACTAAACCGTCTACCTCTGCTGTTCTAGGAGAAGATGTGAGAAGATATTTGGCTGGACCACCAGGGCCACAAGGGCCCCCGGGACCAGCAGGAGGACTGTCGGGCACTTACAGAATAGAGGAGATAGCCACATACATCTTTAACATCATGAACGGTGAGATCAGTTTGCAAAGGAAAACTCTGACCCTGGAAATGGTACCAGCCAATCAGCTGATTGTGATTTTCAGAGAGGGGCATTGCTAGAGGTCCACCAGGGCCACGAGGTCTTCCTGGGCCTCCTGGAGCTCCAGGTGCAGGGTTCACAACTGCTACGATTGACTACTCTGCCCTGATCAAAAGTAAGATGCACTTTCAATTTTAATCCATCAAAAAAATACAAGCTGGAGAAGATCAAAGTATACAAAAAGTCACTCACTGGTCACTTTCTTTGTACCACTTAGATTCAGACTTCCGTTCGTGGATCACTTCTGCTGTACAACAAGGTCCTCCTGGTTCTCCAGGTGTTCCAGGGCTACCTGGCCCTCCTGGTCCTCAGGGGCCTCCAGGATTCTCCACTGCCACTGTGTTTGGGTCAGGAGGTCGTGGCTACAGCCTGGAGGATATTCAGCGTTACCTGCAGGGTGAGTCTGAGAGGAACAAAGGCAGAATACATGTCCAAGAAATTTACTGCACAGTTTCTGTTTATCCATGTTACCTTTAAAGCTGCAGTAGGTAACTTTTATAAAAGTGTATTTTTTACATATTTGTCACCATGTCCTGACAGTAGAATATGAGAATATGAGATGGATAATCAGGGAAAAAATAAAGTTCCCACAGCTCCTCCCATTGGACCTACTTCCATTGGCAGAAATGAACTGCTCCCGGTCAGAAACAGCCTATCAGAGACCGGAGGAATGTCTCACCAGTGTCAGTCTCGCTCGAGTACGTGCTCCTCAATCCCGTCCCCCGACCCAGCACGTACACTTTTTCAAGCTCAATATTGTCAGTGTGGCAGAAAAAAAAACCTCCGTTAAAGGAAAACTGCCTGCAGAGAGCAAGGGGGAGGGACTTGTAAGGTGTTCTTATTCAAATTTTCAGGCTAAGTCCACAGCTTTCTCAGAGCCCCCTACTGAACCTTTGACATGTGGAGAAAATTTCTGCAGAAACAGGAAATAAAGTAGAGGAGTAAATTTGCCCTGTCATTTTTTTTATTTGCCACTAACTTATAAGTCTCATCATTTTGCTTTGCACTCTCTCAGCTTCAGGATACAGAGGTCAACCGGGCCTTCCTGGTCCTCCGGGTCCTCCTGGTCCACAGGGTCCACCAGGCACCGTCACTGGTTCAGTTTCCTACAGTGGGAACTTCCCTCGAGAGAGCATTCATACCGAAATTCAGCAGTATCTGACTAGTAAGCTTCAAACAGCCCACACACAAACAGAATGTGCTTTTGGACCAACATGACTGAAGCAGAGACGCTTGACCTTGATGCGTACAGCAACTCCACGACACGAACACAAATATCCATCAGCGGACAAAGAAAAATTACAGAAGCGAGACAGAGCCTCATTTTTAACTTGGGTCAACTGTAACCCTCAGGTGACAGCGTTCGACGGTCTATTATCGGCCCTCCGGGACCTCCAGGTCCAATGGGTCAGAAGGGGGAACGTGGAGAGCCTGGTTACTCCCAGAGCTACATACAGAGCCAAAGTTACACACATGGCGGCTCCCAATACAGCGCTCAGCGCAGAGAGACTGATGTCAGTAAGCACACAGAGACCATGGACTACTCCAACGTTGCCATGAAAGTCACAGACTACATCAAGAGTGAGTGGAATATGGCTTCAAAATGTTGAGGTTGTTTTGATGTTAATCACCAAATTAGTTATTTTATTCCATTGGAAGTTAACTGTGCTGGAGAGCAACATATTTGATTCAAACTGATGTGTTCTGCTAATCGTCTTGCAGATCAAGGTCTGCTGCAGCAGTATCTTTCAGAGGGACCATGGAGGACAAGTGTCAGAGCAATTCAAGGCCCCCCTGGTCCACCCGGCCCTCCCGGACCACCTGGTTACAGTCGCGTGATCGGAACCTATGGAAATATCACAGCTGACCTTATGGACTTCTTCAGGAGTGAGGATACAGACTTATAAAGATCTACACGAAACTTCTCTAAAACTATTAGCTGATCATCTATCCATGCATTTGCTCTTGCACAGCTTACGGCACCATCCCCGGACCTCCAGGAAATCCAGGACCAAAAGGAGACAGAGGGTACCCAGGGCCTAAAGGAGACAAGGGTACATTTCAACAGGACTGATGCAGCACTGCACATTTACAGAAGTATGGTGGAATTCTCACTGATTGTGTCTTTTGATTACAGGGGATCCTGGACCTCCAGGTTTACCTGGAATACCAGGATCGTACACGGTCCAGATTCCACACAGAGTGCAGAAGAGAGAAGCAGGTAATCTTGCTCAAATTAATCAAACCAATTAAAAATATATTAATAAAGATTGTGTCCAAATTCAGGGGCTACATCCTTCAAAGGCTGAATTTGAAGGCCGATTATGTCACAGCTATGTGCCAAAGGCTATTCAAATTCAAAGGCTCCTTTACTTGCGGCCCACAAATGCGTCATCCTTTTCCCCAATTTGAAGGGCATCTCATTGTAATCTTCTTAGCCCGCCCTATTACAAGATGCATTGCGGGCCAAGTGGGAGATTATTTTGCTCTTAATGGTAGACGAAACGAGAGACAGGAGTACAGTTTTAAATAAAAATCTTTCTTGGCAAACAAATCTTATACTATTGGATAGTCTGTGTTTTCTTTTAAATGAAACCATGTGTTTTAAAAATGCATCTGTTGTTTAAAGAGTACACAAGTGGTACCCATGAAAAACTTTCTTGCCATTGCCATACAGCTTATTCTGCTATAGATTCCTGCTTGTAGTTTATTGGATTGGGTGATTAAAGTCTTAAGAACCAAGCCATATTGGTAATTGATTCAGAGGCCTCAGTAGCATGTGGAAGAACAATACACAGTCACAGCATTGCACCTCTTCCTCATGCTACTCATCAGCATTGGTCACACACGGCTGTAAAATGGAATTCCATTCTTCAACCAGCATTTGTTATAAATCAGCCATTGTGGTTGTGTTGGTCACTCTGGAACAAACAGCACACTCCAGCTGATCACAGGTGTTCAGTGGAAGCGTTGTCATTTTGGAGGATAGAGTTCAGTCCCAGAGTGTGAAGACATGGGATTGCCACTGGTTACAGAATCTCATCTCGTGGGACACCAACTTCATGGTCTGTCACTCTAAACCAGGGGTGGGCAATCATGGTCCTCGAGGGCCGCAGCCCTATGTATTTACATTTTCCCCTGCTCCAACACACCTGATTCAGTCACTGAACTACCTCTTCCAAGTTCTGCAGTACGGAGGACCGAAACTGACGTAATTAGAAATAAAAGCAGAAATAGATAAATGAACTTTTAAATAAAAAAATTTAAAATGCACCAAATAAATTAAAGAGGACAACTTTACCTCACGTTTTATAATTTAATTTAACTTCATATTTATTTTTCCAGATTAGTTCCAATAAATTATATATTTGAACACATAATTCAAATTTTAATGTTTTTTAAATATATATATTTTACAAAGTTTTTCCTTTTACTTGTACATGCATTTGTGTCTCTTGAATGCTTAAATTGAATTATTTTTATAATTTTATCCAACAAGTTTTTTTTATTTCTGTAATCCATGCTTGTACTGTCACAGTTTAAAGTTTAGTTAAAAATAAATGCACAGGTAATGAGTTCCTCCTTGCCTTTGTTTTAAACTAAACTTTAAACTTTTAGCTAAACTGAGGCAACACAAACATGCAACACATAGAAATAAAAAGACTTGTTGGATAAAAATAAAATAATTAAATATAAATATTTAAGACACAAATGCATGTACAATTAATATATATTTAAAAGACAGTAAAATTTAAATTATGTGTTCAAATATATAGACTAATTTATTAGAACTAATCTGGTAAAATAAATATGAAAGTCAATTAAAATATAAAACAGGAGATAAAGTTCTCCTTTTTTAATTTAGTTGGTGCATTTTAAGTGTATTTATTTAGAGGTTCATATAATTCTGCTTTTATTTTTAATTATGTCAGTTTTGGTCCTCGTACTGCAAAAGCCTGATAATCATCTATTCATTCATATCAGGTGTGTTGGAGCAGAGAAACAAGTAAAACATGCAGGGCTGCGGCCCTCCAGGACCAGGATTGCCCATGCCTGCTCTAAACAATCCTGAGAYTTGGTTTTGCAGAACACCAACCTGAAGTTGCCTTTTAGCCTGAGCCCTAAGCAAATGAGTCAAATGCAATATGCTTGGAACAAACACCAACTAACCATTGTTGCAGGGTTCATGCTCACAGGTGCTGACAATCAGGCAAGGCCAATCTGGCACTCTAGGCAAGATTTCAGGTGATGCATCTTGTGCAGTTTTCTAAATCTCCCTGCCAATTTCCAAAGATTTCCATATCAAATTGTATAGTTTTGTCTTTAATATTATTTTGTTCATTTTTAGAAACCAAGTTGTCCAATTGAAACAGTTAACAATATAACTCATTTGATACAGAATACCAGAAGTCTACCTCATACCTGCCAACATCTGCTGACAGCAATGAGGCACACCTGCTCGCGTTAACGAGCAGCTGTGAACTGAGGCAGTTCAAGAGGGGATCTAGTTCTACCCCCCCCCCCCCCCCAGCTGAACCAGCTATACTCTGATAAAAAGTTATAAAATATATTTTTGTCCCCCATTTGTGGCACACCCTAGGTGGATGGTGCCCTTAGCCTTTGCCTATACTGCCCATGCCATGGGCCAGCCCTGCAATCAGGTGCTTGATTGTCAGCACCTGGGGTATCAGAAGCTCAACAGTAAAATATGTTGCTTGGCATTGGCAGAGATTTGGCAAGTTTTTCCACTTAATTCTGCTGCTTAACCCCCCCAAAAAGTGTTTTCCTAACAAAACTGGCATCATTTAAAGGAACAAATGTTCCCTTTTTGTTTTGTGTTTGTATTACTAAACTCATCACATTGCTGCACTGTTCTGTTCATACTCTGCAGATAATAAAGTGGGTCGTCATAAGCGGCATCGTCGCCAAGCCACCGGTGGATGAAGGGYGTACTACTGGATCTGGTCATTTTATTTCAGCTTTACTCATTTTGACTGTTGTTAAACCGTACCAAACAGATCAGATGTGCTCTATCTTTTCTGCATTTTTAAACAAGAAACACTAGTTTAACATAAAAATGCATTTATTCTAGAGGTATTGGCTTGTGTTTCAGTGACAGACTTCCAACTGTTTCACATATGGGTGTATAATGTTTACTTTGCTTAGTTAGAAGCTTGCGTTCACTTTATCAGGGGCAGCTTTATTGGACAGAATATACAGCATCAACCAATAAGTAGCAGTTGCTTTTGGATTTTAATTGCATCTTTTTTAACCATTTGTTATTGTTTTTTATATTTGCTGAGATTTGAGAGTTAGACTGTAATTTAGGACTATATGACTTAAGTATCCATCATGCATTCATCCCATAGGACAAAATAGTTTACTTAAAAAAAACATATTTGAACTTGACTCAGTCTCAGTCAGAGTGAAGGTCATTTTAGAAGGTTCATTTTAAGGTTTACTTGAAAGGTTGTTGGTAAAGACTGGTTACGTGTGTATGATAGAGACAATGACTCAGATGATCAGTGAGACGTGGCTGATTCAATTGTATATTTTTGTTAAAGAGCACTGAATTTGATATGTTTGTTTACCTTTTTGAGTTTAGGAGTGATTAAATTATAAACGCGAGCTTTTGATCAATATATTTGAAAGACAAAAATAAATTTATTTTTGGACTTGTGACTCGATGTTTTATGACTTCTTTGATTTCAAAACTCAAAAAAAAAAGTCAAATAAATGGTCAATATTTTATTTACAGGAAAAAAAGGGGTCATTTTATAAAGATGCGTTAAATACATTTGATATGACGTCACATAAACAATGCATATAACTGGTAATATATAACTGGTAATACGATTCATGATGGTAGAATTGAAATGAAGCAACTTAAAATTACAAAATAGATTTTAAAATTATGAACTGAAGGGGGGAAAAAGTCCAGCATTCATTAAAAATAATAATAAAAAAATAGTCAATGCTGATGTTAGTATACAAAAACTATAAGATGTTGATATGTGGCGGCAAAATAAATCCAGAAATTCATACAGTAACAGCACTGAACTCCAGCTGACCATGAAAAGCGTTTACAGCATTACTAGATGACAGGAAAAAAAAGCTTGAAAAACAAAAGGATTTTAAGAAGGGATAGTTTTAAACAAGATAAAATGAACCAGTTTGGAGTTCAAAAGGGTAACATTTACGTTTGCATGTTTTCTTTAGCTCAAATCAGTGCAAACCATTGATTTCCTTTAGAATTCAAACTGAACAATAAATCAAATCAGCAACAATGCTTAACAAAAAAAAAGCAACGTAACAGTTGACCTCTATTTGAAAGGTAGGGGTGTTGTGATCAGACTGAAATGACACGGTGTGCTAAATAAATAAACTTTTATTTCAGCTCACAGGACGTTAAGTTTTTGGAAAGCAGTTAGTGATCAGTCTTCACATCTTAATACATTCTATTTATTTTGAACCCACAATCTTACACTTAAAAGAAAAACTTCATGACGACATTAAACAGCGCACAGACAACACTTTCACACAGTCGTACAACMATTTTTTCTTTTGATTCATGTTCCTTCATCAACACTGACTTTTACATGCAGCCAAACTAATTCTCTGAAATGAAATTCGCTTAAGTGAAATGTTCAAAATGAATTTTTGTGAACAGAAATGATTTTAAGTGCAAAGTATTCGGAGGGAGGACCTTTACTTATGCCAAGCAGCAGGAAAGCACAGGAAAAAGGGTTGAAAAGGCTTAAGAAGGAAACACACGAGGCACTGGAGATTATTCWTACTGTCGCAGGCTGTGCTTCTGTTAATCTGACGAGCATGGCTGACTTTAGATCCAAATCTCAACATGCTCGAAAAAGTGCAAAAATCATGAGATGTTTCCCCAGGAAGCTGGAAAAACAATCAAGTGAGGGAACGGTGTGTAGGCACATCATGCTCTCAAACAATAGAATCAGATGCAGAAATTACTTCTTTTTTTTAATCAGCAATATAAAATCAAAGGCTTTGTAGGGAAAACGCAGTGAGCACAGACTTTGACAGATTTGTAGAACAAACACATGAGGCTATAAACCAGAGTTCTGCAGGTTGGGGATGGGGTAAAATTTGGACACTCGACTCTGGGTGGTGGGGTTAAGGCATTCGGATTCACCGCTCATTTTGAAGAAGACTTCCTGCTCCTGGAGCTTCCGTGTGAACTCCTCCTCCAGAGCCTGCACGGTGCAGCACAAAACAAAGGAATCAGACGGTGACGACCACCTGCAAGGAGTATTAAACTCTCCAGAATGAAAGGTGAGAAAGTAACATTTTATTTAGAATGAATAAAAGCACCTTCTTCCTGGGTCTGAGCTTTTCTCTCCACTCCTTAATCTCTTGGCTGTGCTCCTCGTCCAGCTCCTTCAGCTTCTGGGTCTCATGTTCGACTAAAAGGTGGCATTTCTCATTCTGAAACGAATGTAAGGAAACGGTGTCAAAAATAACAAATTCTGCACCTTTTTACTCTTTATTTGGCTGTTCGGCCATTTAGCAGTACTGTCTTCTGAAAGAGCCTTTAATGTCCCAGATTTCAWAGCAGACTTGTGGAAATTTTGGTGCTCTTGGGCTGCACTGTGTACGAGTGTGAATGTGTATATATTAGTGTGTAGTTGGATGTGAATGTCTCTAGATTTGAAATTACAATTCTAAAATTTAGTATTAGAACAATTTTAAATTACCTTCTGTATTACTTTGTGTGTGTATATATGTTTGTTTTTCCTCTCATAATCTTATAAGACTCTGAAARCCGGATGAATGTCAAGTTTTATTATGAAGTATTGGAGAAGGGGTAGGATTAAATAAGTTTTACTTCTTCCTACCACTTTTCAGACATGTTAAATGGGATTTAAGTGTTGTGTGTGTATGTATGTATGTATGTATATATATATATATGTATATATATATAGGTGTGGGCACATTAAGTATTCATTTATATAACAGGTTTATTTATTTTGTATACATTCATTTAAAATAGTTTCATTTATTGATATAAATTTATTTTACAAGGGGTTCTATATGTTCAAAATATGTGTGCACATGTGTCTATGTGTAGGTAAATATGTATACACATACAGATTCACACTAGTGTTAACCTTGATTTGCTCTATACAATGAATTTGACATGTATGAAATTATTCAATAAAAAAATGGGGTACACCACAGTACTATCACAACACCCAAGTCTACTGTGAAACATTACATTGCTTTTTAATTTAATTAATTTAAAAGTGTTTAAAATTTAAAATCCTGAACCTTCTTGTGTTTTATGCATTTTGTCATTAACTCTTAAAATATAGAAAAAAAGAGTAAAAAAAAGAAGAAGAAGCGATATGTTTTATCCTGACCTGCAGCTGCTGCAGCTCCCTGATGTTGGAGTCGCACTGCAGCTGCAGATCTCTCATCTGGTTCTCGTGTTTCTGGTGCTGATGGAGTCTCTCGTTCTTCTGCCTCTTGTCTTCTTGTGAAGCGAACTGGACCAGGGAGACAAAACACAGACAGCTGTGACAACAAACCTCCCCACAGAATGATGTGGACAGTGGTAAGCCACGAGACAAKCTCTGAAGATCAAATAAAGCAGCTCATTACAAACAGCCCACTGTTCAAAACCAGTGCATTTTACTGCTTTTTAGATGATTTCTTCTGTTAACAACTGGGTATTTACATAGCAAACAGTTTGAATCAGTGCAGTTTGTACAGTAGTTGTACACTTTACGACTCACAGATCAAGAAAGACGTCATTTCTTTGATGAACTAATTACACAGGGCTAATCCTAGGTGTGGCTGTGTGCCAGAACAATACCATTATGTCACAAGCACAAATGACAAAGCAAGATTTGTGTGGGCACCTGTTTAATTCGTTCTCTCTCTTGATCCGGAGTGATGGCTCCCGTGGCGGTGATGCGGAGGCTCTTCTTAAACATGGCCATGCGAGTCTTGGCATCGCTGCGTTGGATCTTGGGCAGGCGAGCCCTTTCTTGAGTTTGCTTGTTCTTCAGCTCCTCTATCAATCGCTGGTTGTAGCGCTGCATCTGCTCCATTTCCTGGAAAACAAACACACACACAGAGTTTTGTAGTCCAGGGTTATTTATTAAAAGGCAGAATTTACTCTCTGATCTATGGAGCCTGTTCCGTGACATTGGTTTAAAAAACAAAACAAAACTTTTTTGTGGTCACGAGATAATAACGCACAGCTGCAAGATGCAATTTTTAATGCAATGACAGGCACCGTACTGATGGCCTACTTTTTCATGCCGCTTTAACAGCTGATGTCTCTGCATGAAGTACTGGTCTTTCAGCTGCTGCTTCAGCTGCTGGTGCTTCTCCTGCAGGTGGCGCTCCTCTAACTCCCACATCGCCGCCTCCCGAGCTGTTAGAACAAAAACATGACGTAAAGCAGTGAATTTGCATGATAGATAGCTGGGGTTGTACGTACAAATGAAAACAAAAAAACAAAAAATAATAATAATAAAAAAGAAGCTGTCAACAGGATGAACAGGCTTCAACATGTCCTCACAGACAGCAGTTGACTGCAGAAGGTCTGTAATTATCCACATGGTAGATTCACTATTTTATCCACAAACATCTAAATCTGCTGTAGATTAAATGTTTGTCCATTAGGAAGCTGCATAGCAGACTGAGCTGGTTTGTTTGCCTTTTTATTAGAATTACTGGTAACAGGTTGATTTGAACTGACAAGGAAGAAAAAACTCTGAGTCACATTGTCTTCACTCATCATCACCTCACTTATCAGCTTTTACAAGCTACGAGGCTTTCTGTTCCCAGYCTCCGTCTCTCACCTCTCATTAGCTGCTGTTTGTGGTTGAGGCAGTCCCTCTCAATGGTGGCTATCTCCAATTTATGCTGCTGGATAATTTTCTTCAGAGCTCCGTCCAGCTCTTGCTGCTGTTTCTGCAGAAACTCCTGCTCCTATGGAGCCACAGAGAGAGCCAAGAGTGAGSAGCAGAAGAGTTGAGAGATCGTAAAGTGGGACAGCGAAGAGGCAAAAAGAGAAAACAGGACAAAATCTAACAATACAAATGTTTTTTATGAAAACTTCCTGGAATTAAATAATATATAGATATAAAAAAACAGATATCCACTTCAAAATCAGCACAACACAGAGCGCCGGAGTGTTACGCCATCATTTGGACTTGTTACAGGAGACACTCAGATCAATGGATGACAATGATCCACATTTGAAGTTATGAGAGAAGAAAATGTTCAGTGAACATTCAGACTCTATTTTATGACCACAGTGAGAATAACAAACTGCTCAGAGCACTGCCCAAATCTTACATAACTAATTACTAGGTGTGTAATACAACTAGTTAAACCATGGCAATAAATATCTATTGTCTGGTACTGCAAAATGAATCAGAGGTTTAGTGGAGTCCATTTATGATTTTAAAGGTGCGCCACATCTGAAGGTCATAAAGTCATAAAATTAGTTTTTTTTTACTACTAGAGATTATCATCATCATCATTATAAATCAAATGGTCATAGCACTATATAATAACACAGTAGAGTGAAGGATAATTCAGTACTTAATATTGTTTGCACACAACACTCCCAAACACTGTTTAAATCTAGCAGACTACTCAATAGGGGTGTAATGATACATCGATCTATATTGATATGAATGGTTCATGATTCAGTTATATCGAGGCAAAATGAAAATATTGATCTATATCGTCATCATAAGCTCAGTGTGAATCAATATCATATGCCCATCTAACACAGTCATTGTGTTAGACGGGCATATCGATCGCAGACTTGTGAATTGAAATGAATCGAAATCGTATCGTGACAGACTTTGTGCCGACGAGAAATATCGACTCGTCATCCAAACATAAAGATGTAATATCGTATCGTGATAAAGCTGGTGATTTACACCCCTACTACTCAACCACACTTATTTCTTTACAAGATAAAAGGATTTTAAGCATCTTGTGAGGTTGTCTGTTCATATACAGACCTTGCGGTTGAGCAGAAAGTCTAAATAAATACTGTATGTACCCTACCAACTCGATCCAGTTTTATGTAAACAATACCACACAAATACCATACAAAATACACAGACTAGATGTACAACGAGGTTTGTGGTTTTTGTGGAGGAAAAATACTGAGCAGGAGGAGAAAAACCACTCCACACACAGTCGTAACAACACAAATAATACAGGAAAAAAAATGTCTCAATGAAGCCCATGCTTACACGTGTAGTTCTTAAAAAGTAAAAGTGACCGATGCAGTCACTTCACTTCACACACGTCTAAGTATGGGTCAGAGACGGAGAGAGAGATGGGGTGGGGTGGGGTGGAGGGGTGGGGCACTTACATCCTGCATCTGAGCGTTGAAGAGTGCACATGAGGACAACTGAAAAGATTGTATCATAACCTGGGCCACTGCCTGCGGAGGAGAGCACACAGCGGACTCGCCCTGATCAGGGTCAAACAGCACACTGAGGAACGCTCACACACCCACCAAAATAAAATGAAACAAAAGAAAAAAAACAAAAAAACAAAACACACACACACCAGTTCCTCCTGTCTAACGCAAGGACATGGGTTTACCACTTTGGGTCAATTAGTAAGTTTGAAGCGAACAGTTTTGTTTTGTTCCGATGTTAGGAGGAAGCCAATAATTAGTTTATCATAACATGCTGGAGAACAGTTCAGAGCGTTTCATTTGAGTCCAGCGTGCAAAACAAGTGATACGAGGGGAGAACGGGGACGTTGTCAACRTTATCAACTTTAAACTCTAAAACAACAACGTTCGGAGAGTTATTTCAACATGGATGTGTAACAAAAAGTTATCTCAGGTCAGGATCTGGTAAATTATTAGCAAACACTTCCTCTCCATTACAAACCTTATTGTTCGCTCTGCTCTGATGAGGTTTAATACAATATTTAAAAGATTACATAAGTAAAGCTTAAAATGGGACAGTCTAAAAGAAAAAAATCGTTTTTTCCCCTTTGGTTTGGTTTTATCATTATAAAACCAAAAACAAAGTGCTACTTAAAATATATAAGATTTTTTTGTATTTGTAGAACTGAACAACATAAAGTTTATTTATCATCAGAGAAAAACGAAATATTTACATCTGTAAGTTATGCTTCATGTAGTGACCTCATGTACACTTAAAATGTGTACACTGTGCTGCTGTGTGTATCACATTAAGATACATAAGTCAACAACATATTAACTACATGTCTATAATAAAGTTTAAAAGGCAACCCCACATATAAACTATAACATTTAACTGTAAAAAACTGTTTAAAGCAGCAGGTATTTTATAGCTGAATGTCTCTATATAATGTTAATTGATAAAATTCACAAATGACACAATTTGATTTAGTGTTATCTCTTTTTGTCCTTAAAAAACTGAGCAACCTTCATGGTAAAATCTGAATAATATCTAATCAAAGATGATATACTGACAGAGAGATTACAACTCAGCTGGTAGGTGATCTGACAGGAAACAGAAAGCTAATCTTTATGTGAAAAGGTCAGAGGAAAAGAAAAAAAAGTCAAGTTGTGTTCAGACGCTTTACCTCTGCAGTCTTAAGAAGCGACAGGTCCTCTTTTAAGCGCTTCATGAGCTCTTTTCTCATGTGTTTAGGTGACTGTCCAACTTCCTGAATGGCCTACAGTGTGCAAGTACGCAGAAACTAGTTGGTGCAGTTTCTGAAAATCTACCAAAGCTGGACAACAACAGGGCACAGGAGGAGACATGCACGGCCCACTTTCAGTACAGAGACCCAGCATCGGATCACCGCGGTTTCACCTCAGCATGCTTATTTCCCACAACCTCCTTTGGATTTTCCCTTTTCAATGATTCTCAGTGTGCATGACAACAAATCGTGGCTCTCAGCTTGAACTGCATGGGTTAGATTTATGTCAAATCAGTAGACGCATGCCAGAAAATGTTAGTTTCAACAACAGCTTCACTACTTTGATTCTATGAAGTCCCACAGTCACAAACTACTTTGATTATTTTGACTTTTGAATTAAAAAAAGCAGAGTAACTGAGGTGGAATGTTTGAATGAATGATACTTTATTGATCCCATGAAGGGAAATTAAGAAATATTACTGATCTGGACAACGCTGAAACATGATTAACAAATACACACTGGACATATTCGGTTATTAAAATAATATGTGTTGCAACTAATTATCTTTTACTACTGATTAATTAGCTGATTGTTATTTTGGTGATTATTGCTTGCTCTTACAAAGTTTAAAAACAGAAGCAAAACAAGTGAATGTAAAATACTATTTATAATTTACGTTTTTGGGGATTTTTAATGAATATTTTAAATAAGAAATTCCCACAAAGGGGGATTATGAATTAATCTTACATCAATTACTCATTTCAGACCCACTTGAGACTTTTCCATTTCAGTTACTCTGATGCAAGACTTGTAAAATTTAACCCAAAGGAACCCAACACCTCTTCAGAAAAATCAGACAAAAGTTGGCCATACAGAGACCAGCGCAAACTCACACACTCATAAAAACAAACATGGTTAGTTCAATGCACATTTTGAGAACAATTAACAATAAAAACGATTTTAAAGACAAAAATCAGAGCTAAGAACATACTGGAAAAAGAAAAAAGCTTATAGTTTGTCTAAGATTTATAATTTTTGAAAAGAAATGATATTTTCTGGTATACTATAAGATTTAACTGGCCTCAAAATACAAAGAGATGCACCACAACACCCAGCAAGTAACTGCAAAGCACAGCAGAAAAAAAGTCAAATATTACCCTGAAAAAATAGAATAAAATAAAAAAGCTGCACACATCAAACCTGTAAGCCCAACTAAAACATCCAGCAGAGCAATAAAATGATCGTTATAGAAACAAAAGATAGAAGATGCTTATAAAAAAWGCAGAAAGCTGAGGACACCATAATATGCTCAGCCAGAAATAAAAAAAAATCTCTAGTAGCAAAGTATTTCAAAGGAAACAACCAGAAGGAGAAACAACAGAAGCTTGGAAAAGAGATACATGATGAATTCAACAAAAAAAAAAAATCAAAAGAGGACTCAGTCATTCTGCGGCCATCGTTAGCTACAAGGCTGAACAGCAGGGGACAACATTCACACAGGATTAGTTTAACAAAACATTCAGATTAAGCCACAGCTATGTTGTTAAACACATGCACTATTAGACAGCTCTAACATGCAAAACACTGCTAGAAATGCAAACAAAATTAGCCAACTCCCACTCAGAAACAGGCACTGTACCTCCTTCTTCCTGTTCTTCAGCATGTTTTGGAACTTGGACAGTTCTTTGTCTTGATCTGCTTTGATGCGTTTGGCTTCGTCTCGGAGCCGGCTGGTGTGATCCTGTTCCAGTCGCTCAATTGTCTGTTTCTGCTTCTTTTCAAGATTCTCCACTTCTTGGTCATATTGACGTTTCTTTGTCTGTASGATTTAGAGATACAAAACTGTTGTTGATGTATAGACCAATACAGTTTGGATGAACCTTGTTTTAAAAAGGGAACCCGACCTAGTTGTAACATTAGACTTTATTTGATAAACATTTACTTCAACTATGGGGATAGTTGGTAATATATAGCAGTTAAACCATTTCTTTATTTTTTCATAGGGTCATTTTTATTTGAAATATTCTGAAAATAAATGAAATATAGCATTTTAAAACACGTATAGAGAGAACAAATCCTCACAATTTCCACCTCCCGCTGTAGAAACGTTACGTCGTGTCGCGGGATCATAATCTCTCCCTCCCTCCTGCTGCACGTTGCGCAGAGAGAAGCATTAACTCTAGTTTCTTCACACCCGTGTTTTCAGAGAAAAAAAATAGTTTTTATGTATTGTTATCCAGAGATGAAAAAACAATTTGTGGACGTTGTTCAGTCATAAATCCATCTTGTTGACGTAACAGTCAGTTCAATAGGCTCACTGTATGGCAGGCCGACATTACATTTATTTGGCTTCACCACTCTTACATTCCAGTTATCTGAAATTGTTTTATGACTAGATTAGACAGATTAGTTACTTAGGATAAAATAAAATGTTTTCTTTTATTATTTTTGTTTTATTTACTTGTTTTTTTTAAATTTGTAGATCTTTCCAGCTTGAGCTTGTTTGTTTGTTGAMGTTGATTTTTGAAAATAAGAGGCACATACAATGAGTTTTTTTTCCCTTCACTATGCACCCTTTTAATTCAGGGCAGGATTTACTTTGTTTTTTTAATTCTGTACATAAATGGTTCTGTTTTTATGAATGAAAGAAACAAAAACAAATAAATAGAAATCTCAATATATTTTGACAAGGCAAGATAGCTATTTAAGTTATCTTTAATTATATTCTGACTAGTTTAAATAACGTCAGCTTTATCATTAAGTTGTAGTGAGACTCCAGTTCAAAATATCTGCAATGTATCTTTAGATATCAGATAGGCTATATAAGATTCAATTAATGCAAATTTCAGACTTTTTCATATTCTGTAAATTGTACTTAAAACAAAGCTGCTGCTGTTGATAGTTCTGTTTTCATAAGCAGCCCTCCCAAGGCCAGTACTCCAAGGGAAACACTGATAGACACTGGTCTAAATTTTTTTTTTGAAGATGTATTTGATAAAACAATTGACTGACTGTGGATTACTCAGTCTGCAATGTTTGCATCTGCTTAATCAGATCACCTATGTACCTCTGTGTGTAACCATGTTAATATTTTTGAAGTACAAAGTACAGTACATGTTTTTCTTATTTTATCAAATTTTGAACATTTTTGTTTCGGGCAGGTAACTTTTCATGTTGGGGAGGTAAAAAAAAATCTTGTCGAACCCTGATATGATGTTAACTATGTATGAACATCAAATAAATAAATAAATAAATAAATAAATAAATAAATAATAATAATATATATATATATACATGGCGTTAGTTAGCTTGGAAACTAATGCTGTATGACATATGTATTAGCTTGGGTGCTAACGTGAACGCTAACAGGCTAAGCTGAGGTTCTCCTTCAATAAAGAAACTCTGTTCTCCATCTGCATTTTCAATCACAGGCCAAGTCTTTTCTACATTTCTATCTTCTCCTCTCTGTCAACATGATCTGGTTTCATTTTTAAGGGTTGATCATCAGATATTGTCCAAGATTAACCTTCAGGATRGATAGAGCTCACAGTCTCACACTGGAGCATCCAGTAAACATTGTTATTTACCTTTGCGGGATAAATAATATGGCGCCATCTGTGGGACAATATATTTAGAGTTTTTACAGTTGAGGTAAATGTTTATCAGTTAATGTCTAATGTGACAACTAGTCAGGGTTCCCTTTAAGGYTTTTTATGTTTATGTGACATGGAAGTAAATGTGTCATGTTGAGCTTATTATATTTAGATCAGATCTAAGATGAAGTGGCTCATTTCTGAGGAATTGGCCCTCAAAGATGAAMAGAAGAGGGGAAAGTAAAAGTTGTCAAACCACAGAGGTACAAACATAGAGACTCACAGTAGTTTCCTGTTCAAAGCGCCGGTAGATCTGCTCTCTTTGCTGCTGCAGCTTGTTGCTCAGCTGCTGTTGGGCCCTGTGCTCCTCTTTTTGAAGAAGGCGTAGCTCTCTCAGCTCCTGCCGCCTAAAATACAAATAATAAAAAAGACAGTAATTGTAATGACAAAATATCCCAATATTTACTTTTTTAACTAATTTAAGCAAAACTTCTGACACAATTTTTATTTCTAATGTAGAATGCATAGCTTTCCTCTTTATTTAAAAAAGAAGTCTACTCCTTTTCTTCTTTGATACTTCTAGAACTAATCATTTTGGATTACGTTGTATGTTACTGACATAAGACCATGAACCAAAGAGAAAACTAAGATAGCACAAGCAAAAACAGAAGAGCCCAGCTTTTGTCTTTAAAAGGCAACACTGGAGATGACAGTAACACAACACAGCATTAATAATGACAGTTAACCCATCTGGCATTTGTAAAAAGCTGTGGGAGTTGTGAAATGAGCAAGAACTATTTAAAGCAGACATGTTAAACAGGTCACGTTCCATAAACAGCGTGTCGAGCTGACTGGATGCAGCCGTACCTCAAAAACCTCATCTCCTCACTCTTGGTGTCATTATCTGTCACTATTTTGGACGTCGTCACACTGACTTCCACGCCATCTACCATAAACTTGCGTGTCTTCTTCAGGGTCTTCTTCTGGCGTTTCGACTCCTACCAAAACACCAGTGATGCTTTAGAGGATGAAATGATGAAGCCAGAGTTAAAGACTGAGTAACAGAGTGTGATACAGATTATTTTACCTGCAGAGATATGGAGCCTCCCTCTTTGCTCTTCGACAGGAAGCTGGAGATGGACAGATTGAGGTCAAGGCTGTTGCTATCAGCGGCAGAGCTGCTTCCAGAGTCTGAGTCCTTCTCCACGTCTGACTTGACCACAGCAGGGCTTCCATGCTCCACCTTGGCTTCTGAATCAGCTTCACTCTCTTGAACAGAAATGGCATCTTGGGACGTGATTTCATTGGCTTGAGCTGCTTTCTCCTCATCTTCCTTTAAGGAGTCATCTTTAGATGCAACCGTTTGGTCAGAAACCTTAGACACGTCTTTGACCTCATCACTGACTACATTGGATTCATTTGGTGCTAGTTCTTGCAGTTCGCTCTTCTTTCCTGACAGATCCTCTTGTGAAGGCTGCTCTGCTTCTTCAGAGGTCTTAAGCTTTGGTTTCTCCTCCAACTGACTCTCTATGATCTTGTTTTCTAACTCGGCTTCAGTGGAGGACTCCTCCACACAGGTCTTGATGTCTGTGTCTCTATTTATCTTTGTGTCCAATAAATCTGAATTTGAACTCTCTGTGTTTTCATTTGTTGCTGTGACATTGTCTTCTAACCTGTCTTCTGTCACTTCATGTGCTGAGATCTCCTCGTTTGATTTGTCGCACACTTCTTTAGGCAGCATGACTTCCTGTGATCTAGTTTCTGTTTGCGTTGGCGCCTCCTCAGGCTTCTCTTGCGATTCTACAGAATCTTCTTCTTTAACCTGTTCTGGCTCTTTTTGTTCTTCTATTACTTGGGTAGTTTCCACTTCCATTTTCTTTTCCTCTGTCTCCTTCTGCTCTCCCATTTCTTTATCACCTGCGTCGGGTTCTTGGGAATCTCCCGAATCTACAGTTTCTTTTGTTTCTGACGCCACAGGTTCAACAGAAACATCTCCAGTCTGAGCCGCTTCCGGTTTAGCACTGGAAGAGTCTTGAGAGGTTAAATCATTGCTGGTCTCCATTAGTCCAGAAGCCAGGTCTTCATTACTGGCATCTGACACCTCATTGAGCTTCTCCTCTTCATTCTTATCCGTTTCGCTTGTTCCAAGTCCCTCATCAGAGAGCTTATCACTGGTTTGGTCCTCAACAGGTTCGGCTTCGRTCTTTTCTGTAACAGACTTGAGGTGGGAGGGAGTCGGTGGAACTTTGTCATCCTCTGAGCTGGCCATACTAATATCTGATGGGGCTCTTTTGTGCCCAGGAGCTGCCTGAAGTAAGAAAAAAAAGAGAAAAAAAGAAAACAGCACTTTGTCATTAAACGAGCCGAGTGGTCAAAGATTTTCTTTCATCCATAAATGTTGTGATGACTAATTGGATCTCATTACAGTCAGGATACTTATCTCTATTCAGGCTTACTGTGGCAACATGATAAACGTTAGAAAACCAAAGACCTGTGCTTTCTGTGGATTTACCGTATTTATTCATATATATGATCTCGAGTATAATGCGATCATCATTTTTTGAGCTTAAAAAGCATTAAAAATCTAATTATCAGTAACCTGGGTACACTACCCCCCCCCCCCCCACACACACACACACACACTTTATGGATGATTTTTAGGGTTAAATTTCTAGTATTATGCATAAATAAATACAGTAAATAGGTCATTCTAAAACAATGGAGCTAACTAAAACATTTTTCTTGATTAAAAGTCAAAGTTCCTGCTAATGACTACACCCACAGCATCCCATATCTGAACACCATAATCTTTGTTGTAAACAGTAAAACTACCCACCACAGGTGTATCAGGTTCATCCTCCTCCTCTTCCTCTTTGCTATCTTCAAGCTCCTCTGTGACTTCTGCTTTGGCCTCAGCTATAAGCTCTCTGACAGGCCTGCTGTCAGTTACGCTTGTGACAAAAGGATGCTACATACAGAAAAAGAACATAAAAAATTGTTTTTTTCCCTCAAAGTGAAATAGCTTTTAGAGCAATAAGCAAAACAAAAAAAACCTAACTTTTTTTAATAACAAATTAAATATACTGAGAAGAATGTAGTCAATGCTTTTGTACTGTGACATAACACTAATAAAAGGTGAAAAGCTCACCTGCAGAAGCTGGACTGAATTCCACCTATTGTCCACATTCTTGTCCAGAGCTCTCCTCAAAAAGTCATTAAATTCTGGAGACCTTTAATAAATAAATAAATACATAAAGGTCATAAAATGCTAACTAGTTCTGGCTTTATGGACTCGCATTTATGACAGTTGAGGTAAAAAAAATACAAATTTAATCATACAGTTCCTGATTTAACACTCCACACATCCTTATCTCAAATCTATAAACGTTTCACTGCCGCCTCTTTTATTATCACAGGCACACCATCTCACCAGCGAGAGGGGTGCATGAGTGTGGGCGGCTCAGACTTGGCTATTTTCAGTAACACCCTCATGGGATTCATCTCGTGGTTGGGCGGTTCAATCTGTGCCAGTTCTATGAGAGTAACCCCGAGGGACCAAATGTCGGCCTTGTAGTCGTACGGACGGTCTTTGGAGGTTTCGCACATCACCACCTCTGGTGCCATCCTGCAAAACAGAGTGGGACAATGGTTGGCACTTATTTAAATGGGCAGAACGCCAATTAAAGATTTGCATGAATTTATCTCACTCTAGAAAATGAAAAATAGGATGTTTGGTCTAAATATTTAAAGCACAGTCCGTTCAAAATTCAAGTGGTCTTTTCAAGCATTTCCCATTCATTCCTGCTGCAGAAAATGCAAGCACAATTATCAGATGTAAATAGTAGCATGCCTGATTACTGTACATTTAAGCTGTGTGACTCACCAATATGGAGTGCCAATGAAAGAATCTCTTCTCTGTAATGTGTTGGTATTTTTAGCAGACACTCCAAAATCAGCTGAAAGTAGAAATGAATAGCAATTTGTTTCATCAGCAAAGAAAGCACAGGTTTTCTAACAAATCTGAGTTAAGCACATTAAAGTGACTGTGACGCCAAAGTTTTGTAATATCAATGCATTTTTGAAAAGATAACATTGATAAAATATTGCAAATAAATCATGCTGCTGAGATGAACAGTTGTTGAGATTTTTTTTAAGATTTTTGTGAAGTAACAGGAAGTGATGAATGTCTGAATGTGAACAGAGCGTTGATAAAACAGCTAACAACTAAGACTGTAGAAAATAATCTGCTGTTTCTTTAGATTATTTTGACTCACTGTCAGAGAGAGATGAAGAAGAGTCAGAGTTCAAATAATATTGTTTCAATAAACAAAGTTCCTTTTCTTAAAGTTCCCCTTTGACGTCACTTCCTGTTTCATTTTGGCTGAAATATGAAATATGCCAGTTATGTGACAAAATGATTAAATCAGTCTATTTTGCCAAGTTTCTTAAATATAAATATATTGTCTTAGACTTTTTGTATTCGCTTTAAAATCAATATTTAAAGCTTTCAGGGCACATCTCACACAATCAGTAGCCTGTGCAGCTGCAGTGTTTCAGCCTGCAGTCTTCTTCTTGCACTACTTACAACATCTACATGTTAGAGGAATAAAAAGATTTATCAGGTCTCTGATGACTAGCTGGATAATTATTGTTTGCCAGACTGCTGTATGACCCCTCTGCCTACGGAACATGACTCATCAGGGAGAAAGCCGAATATGTACGCCACAGCTGCATCATGAATAGTTTACTTGTGGAAAGTTATGTAACATATCTGACGTATCACCAACTACAATACACAAGTAGCATTTATAAATTACAGTACTGGTATTTTTAGCTTTAAATGGCAAAGACATCCATTGCAAAAGGTGAGAGTTGTTTTTTTTTACCTAATTTTACTTCTCCATCCAAGGAGAGGAGAATGTTTCCAGCTTTCAAGTCTCTGTGGATGATCTTATTTTCGTGGAGATAAACCAAGGCCTCCAACGTCTGCTTACACACCACTCGGATCTGAGGCTCAGTCAACGGTCTCTCCAGTTCTGAAGAACAACACATGCAGTAAACTGAGACATGAGCATCTAATGTAATTTGTCAACAACAAACAACAGTTCCTGAAGGAAAARCTTTACTTTTAGTGTCCAATGTTGCTCAACAAATATAGGTGAGTCAGACCAAGAGTACAATGAATACACATTTACTGTAATACTTTAATCGACTGTCATGTTTGCTCACAATAAAAATAAAAGAAGTTACACTYCTCCTCAGGCTTCAAAGCAATACTTAAAGTGCAGACTGTATGACTGGAATAACCCCGCCTTGAAACCTGAGCTGCAATAATTACATAGTTGGAGCGGCCTCTCAAACTGGGAAAGGAGGAAAAAAAATCCCACTGTGGAGGCTTTGGGATGGAACAGAAAAAGTTGGCACCTCAGAATGGAGCAAAGAAAAGCCTCTAGAGCGTTATGGAGCTTTTCTGTCTCTTTCAGTACGACGGGGACTTACCCAGCATGATGGCATCGACCGCACCACCGGCGCAGAACTCGATCAGAATCTGAAAAATTAACGTGGAATCGTAAATAACTATACTGGAATAAGGCTTCAACTTGACTCTCAAGGAACATCATCTGCTTAAACTAAAAGCTTGTGTTTCCAAAGTAAGCAGGCAAAGTGACCTTCGGTGGAAAGACACAAGCAATCCCATTCTGTGTTATAGATTACACTGAAGAGACATTCCAAGGAGACAATCAATCGGACACTAAACACCCATTCTCTGCATCTACTACAGACATGCTTTACAATTGAGTATGCTCYAATGTGTCAGATTAAAACATCAGTAGATGTACTTAGTACAAACTAGAGGCAACTATAAAAGACAAAGTCTATTAAGGTTACAGCTTTTTAGGTTTTACAAACTGCATCACAACACAATAAATTTCAGGCAATTGAGTTTAATTACTATACTGCAAGGATTTTGCAAGTATCATGAATGTGTTTTGTAGGCAAAGACCCCTGCCTGAGGACCATTCATGCTTTAATATCAACTTTTTATGTGTCTCAATATATTTTTTGTCATCACACTAAAATGAACAGCTGTCCAAAGCTAAATAAACAGGACTAACAATAACAATACAGCAACTTCCTGAATGAAATGTACAGAGCTAAATCAGTGTTCCTACAGCTTACGGCAAGTTAAATTTAAGACTTTTTAAGACTTTTTAATGCCACCTGACATGAAATTTAAGATTAAATTCACAACACAAATGGAAAAATATACAGCGAAAATTTCACCCAAACGTTTGTTTTAACACAAAACAACTAGCTGTGAGAGAGGCAGTCAGTAAATTATTTTAAAAAATAAATAGCTACCAATTATTTTAACATTTGAGATGAATTACAATTATCCTACTTACAACATGTTAACATTTTAAGACCTCTGAAATACCGAATTAAGACATTTTAATGCTAATTAAGGCCTTATATTTGGATTGATGAATTCAATGCCTTTTAAGACTTTTTAAGGATCTGCAGGGACCCTGTAAATGCATGTTTAAGTTCTTCAGCTATTTTTTATTGTTTAAAGCCAAAGGTAAAGGTTTAGTGTAAGTGGCCCAGATGTTAACACAACACCTGCTTGACAATTAGACAACCCTACATAAAGCTCTATAAACTGYTTGTCAGCTTCCTTAGGATTTTAAAGTGTAAACTCAAGTAAGTGCTTCACCTCTGTCTAAAAGATGATCTAGTATGAAGAAATCTGAGCAGAGGCAACAATAAACATCACTAATTTAGTCCAGAAACTGGGCAACTCATATAAATACATGAAGTTCATAGTTACCCATTCAMAAAAACATTCATAGTAATTCTGTTGACAACATACAACTCATTCTATTACACAYTCAGCTTTAAGCTTCAGCTGTAGTAGCTAATTTAATAGATGACACTTAATTTTATTAGCTTTATCAGCTTCTACAATAAGATATGTGAAAATAAATCAGAGCCAATATTATTGTGGTTTAAGGAAATAAAGTGAAAGAGAAAACAGTGAACAGCTATAAGGCTTTGAAGCCCAATAGCTGCAAGGTTAGTCAAGTTCTCCATCTGAGCTATTAATAACTTGTTTCATAGTAAGCTAAGCTTATTTATAGGTATAATAAATTAATTGTTGTCTGTTTTCCAAAATGCAAGCAACACATTCTTTTCAATGTGAAAAAAAATAGAACAGGCATTAACTGAACCAGATGCAAAGCAGAGACAGTTGTGTGTTTATCATGCTGCTTAAGCACAAAGGCCAAACGTATGACCTGCATTCAGCCATGAATTATTCACAGGCACTTTCTCCAGCCACCAAAACCGCTCCATTATCTTCCTATAGTTGTGGCCTGTCCACAAGGGGCGGTCACATGACACCACCTGACAGGACGTAATTGCTCTGGGGCCTCTTAGTGCTCTCAGAATGAGACCRTGTATTAATCCCCGACTCTTTGTTCACAATAAAACAGCTGCATTAGGTTGCCGGAGCAGAAAAAATATTTTACAAGAAATAATCTTTTTTTTTTGGTCACATTTTCACTTCTTGAAGTTGTCTGACGGTCAAAATAGRTTCAAAACATTATCTAATACAGGGGTCTGCAACCTGCGGCTCTGGGGCCACATGTGGCTCTTTGGTCCCTCTGCAGTGGCTCTTTGAAAATGTGACCAAACATAACAGAATTTTTATTTTATTTTGTTTTGTTTTTATACCCACAACAGAAATCGATTTATATGCAAATATGTGATCAATACTACTAATACAAAAAGTAAAACATGTTAGCTCATGCTAGCCTGTTGTTTACTTAAAGATGCCAGTTTGTTTCTATGCTCTCTCTCAAATCCATCGGAATTACCTTTAATCAATTTGAAGACTACATAATAAGAATTAGAAAAAAATATGCCTGAATATTTCAGTTGTACTAGTTTTTATGAAACTCAGTATAAACTATATATGGTATTTTTCTTGTTTACTTGTGGTCTTTTTATTTGTCCTGATGTGTATAATAATAAATAATATAATAATAATAACAATATTCGTTTAGTTTTATAATGTCACCTCTACTGACCGTAAAAGTTCCCAAAAAGGCCTCGAAAAGGCCCATGGACCACCAATTGATAATCACAGTTGAAGCTTGTTTTGCGGCTCCGAACACATYTTATTAGTGAGACAAGGAGCACAAAGGTTGCAGACCCCTGATCTAATACCACAGTGAGGAGCTAAATGCTTAGTGTTCTCTGACAGGCACTATGCCACTTACCCAGAGTTTGCCTTCAAAATAGAAAGCATCCAGCAGCTTGACAATGTGATGGTGGTTGCAGGAGGCCAGAATGTCAATCTCCACCATGTAATCCTCCAGTTCTTCCTCTGTTTTTGTGTCAATGACCTTAGCAGCTGCAAGTGTCCCATTTAGCTTGTTCTGGGCCTGTAAACCAACATACAACAATAAAAATATAGAGTGCAGACTAAAAATGTATGAAAACAAGAAAAAAACGACATTGAGCAGTGAGTTAAAGCCATATGCTGATTTATATATATTTTTAAATTGTTTGCTGGCTACACAACAGCAACACTGGCTTACTATCAACTAGCTTAATTGAAATTTTATACACAAAAAAGAGCCAGTTTTGAGTTGAGAAATCAACATTAGATGTCCGGCATTTTTAACAATCTGAGTATCTCAAACCTTGAAATAAATTATTAGTCAGACAAAAATATAATTACAATTATCTGAATCCAATCATGTAAAACACACCTCTTTGCTGCGTGACCACAACGATCAAAAACTGATTTGTGAAGCGCATTTACTTCCTCTTCTTGTTTTCACAATTCATGGTGTTAAATACACACTCCCATTGTTAAGCAAAAAGAAAAAAGTAAAACAGATTAATCTATAATTGACTGATGCTGTAATACGTCCCAAAACTTTCACCTAAARTTAGGGTGTGTGGAAGATGGTGACAGTAAAAAATTAAAATAAAACAAGAAGCTACGAAGCTATTTCTGGCTGGTCAGGAACTTAATGTTTATGGATACAGACAAAATGTCAGGGAGGCAACGAAAAAAAAAACAAGACAGGGTGTGTTAACACTTGCTGCTGTGTCAGACCCTAAATTTAAACACTTTGACCTAAGACGCTTTCCGTCTCTTCCTTTTTGTGCTGGCTGTCTGTTTGGCAGACTATCTCTAATACATATTTCCACTGGTAACTTCACAATGCAATGCATCACTTCACTGAGAACCCTACTGTCTTTCTGTATAAAAAAAAAAAGTATTTTAAATCAAACAAATGAGAGCTGGTGAGTCTCAAACATCTTATATAAAAAATAAATTTGGCATGTCGTAAATTAAATATGAATAAAAACAGGATAATGACATCATTATGTAGCAGGGGTTTTCAAACTGTAAGGTACACCTTACAGTAAGGCGCGCAAGAGGTCTTGAACAGGGGTGTGGGATGAATCAGGAAGTAGGGAAATTAATGTAAATCTTACGTTTACACTGCTGGTCTTAGATTTGATTTTTTTTTGTACAGATCTTTTTTATTGCTGCGCGATGCGTCACATTATAATTAAAACGGGACCTCCTTCAGGCTTCAGTATGAACCGTGAACAGTTCAGAGGGGCTCGGTAGAAAAAGAAGCGACGTCACACGCAGCGAGCTTCATTTGAGGAAGTAAACACACATGCTACATGTGTTAGCATGTGTGCTTCTGAAGTTCTTGTGCAATCAGAAATGATTAAATTATTATCTGACATTGTTGTTAGGTCCGGTGTTTTAATCTTGCCTCTTGACGGATTCTACGGCACATTTTATTTTTGGAGCGAAGCGACAAGCGGAAGGTTACCACGGGCATGGTCCGACACTAACTTAGCATCATCTGTTGCTGCAAATTCTCAGTCATCCAGGACATGGGAAATGAAAAGAAAGAAAAAAAAAGATCATGCAACTGGACTTCTGTTCTGTAGCTGAAGACAAGCTCAGACAAGTTCTGTGCTCTAAACTCCAGGCAGGTTGGGACCATAATAAATACATGGATCAATCCGYTCACAGGTACCTCAGTGATGTTATGTCAGGTGAAATGAGACATGAGCGTTGAGAGTTGCTTTGTAAAACATCTGATACATTGCATTGTGGCCAAAGACAATCAGATTTGGGTACACATTTACCTGCAGTGTGTGAATGTAATCTAAAAGTAAAAAAAARRAAAAAARRAAAAAAAAAGAAAAAAAATTGTATAGGTCTTCTGGACGGGTTCTTCTCTAATGAAACGTTTCGTCTCTCCTCCAAGAGACTTCTTCAGTCTGAGAGTTTCAGGCAAAATTCAGGCTTTTAAGCCCTGCCTCCATGTGACTGATACTCACATCACATGGCTATCGTTGACACCTAATWAACACCTATTGTTAACAGGGGGTGGAGTGATACTGGCAATAGCAGCACTGTAGGAGGGGGACAACTGAAAACGGAGGCCTCCACCTCTGTTTAATGATGGACGGTCTTTCTTCACAAAAATGGCTTCTTTTACTCCTCTCTCAAACCAACGTTCCTCTCTATCAAGAATGAGAACATCCTCATCTCTGAAAGAGTGACCGCTGGCCTGTAAATGAGTGAAAACTGCAGAGTTCTGGCCATTAGATGTAGCTCGTCTGTGTTGGGTCATTCTTTTGAACAGTGGCTGCTTTGTTTCCCYGATGTATAACTGGTCGCAGTCCTCCTGGCACTTAACAGCATATACAACATTGCTCTGTTTGTGCCGGGGCACCGGATCTTTGGGGTGAACCAGCCTTTGCCGTAATGTGTTTTGGGGTTTGAAAGCCTGCGTTGCAGTGCTCAAAAGCCTGAATTTTGCCTGAAACTCTCAGACTGAAGAAGTCTCTTGGAGGAGAGATGAAACGTTTCATTAGAGAAGAACCCRTCCAGAAGACCTATACAATTTATTTCTTTTTGATTTTTTACCTGGATTACTGAGATACATCAGGACAGTAAAAAATAAGGGGTTGTTGTAAAGTAAGGGCATTTAAAAGAAAAAATAAACAATTTTAAAAAGCACAGATGTGTTTATTTTCTGGGGGGAGGCAGTTGTTTATTTGATCTCTCAGAGGTACACTTTGAAAAGCCCTGTAATATTGTACATGGACCTTCAGACTTATACATGTGATAATTAAAAAATGACTTCCCTTTCTAAAGTAGAATACAACCTGTGCTTAAGGCATATAGAGACGTTTATCCTCCATTGTTGCTCATTTAAATCAACTGATTCAAACTTGACAGGCAAAACATTTCTACCACACCTAAAGGAGGCAGCCATCGGGTGCTTGTGAAAAAGCTCCGTCAACAATAACGCAACCTAACAAAAGCATCTTCCTTTCCCTTGCAAATGTTTTACTATGGATTAATATGTCAACTTAAACTGCCAAAATAAAGTCCAATAATCCTCTTACAGTAAGACAACCAGCTAACCACACGAGACAACTAATAAAGGCAAAAGAAGATTTAAATGGACCATTAAGAGCTCCAGGCAGGAAGGAACTGCTTAAGCAGCACAGAGAGAGAGAGGTCGCTTTACRAGGAAGTCAACACAAAATAATTCATTTTGAAAAAACATTAAACTTGACAACAACTGAATGGAAACGGATTTCTCCAAATCCTAAAACAGTCGATACATTTTGTTTATTTTAAGCATTTTTATTTAGGTTTTTAAGAACCCTAAACAACTTTGTCCTTTTGACTAGAACACATGCTGGCAAAACATGGCCAGGATCAGCCCTGTAGACATCCTAACATGTCTACAAAAACTAGAAAAACTAAACAACTTGAAATAAATCCACGAAAACAAAAGTTTTATTACAAATAAACAAATAAAAAAGKAAGTTGGGCAAAGTCAAAACAATGTAGAAAATGCCTTTTTACCAAATTTTAAAAAGCACTTTATGGTTGTTTTTTCCATTGTTGTTGCTCAAAACAGGCTTAAATGTTGCTTTAAATAGATCAAAGTTTGTGCTGACAGAAACAGACTAAGAATTGAAATSTCAAAAAAGATAAAATAAATAAAAATAATATCCATGTTACTAAAATTTACTYATCTGGTTAGATTGGTGTTAAGATTGGGGCTAAGATTACTGGGTAAGACAACAAATAAGCAGATAAGTACATGGGTATAAACTGATAATGCCAGAGTATGAAATGCTAACGTTTGGCTATGACTTTGGGTAACAAAGCGACAAAAGTAAAAAGCTACTCAGATMATATAGGTTGCCAAACAAATAAAAAAAGTAAACAATTTTTTTTGTGTGTTCTTGCAGACGATACTGTGATATACATGATAGGATTCAGGTGGCATGTTTTGATTCAACACATCATCCTCTGACTCAATTTAAAGTCAAAATGAAACTCTTGGCCTAGAGGTAGTTTCATTGTAAATGACAGTTTCAAAAAAAGATCTTTGTCCAAAAATAACAACAATGTATCTAAGAAAGTTAAGTCTTCACTTTTTTTATTTTATTTTATTTTTTACCATGGTTAGGTCACAGATGCAACAGGTCCAGGATATAAACCCAGACATCCCTCTCCCCAGCGATACCACACTCCTTCTGGGGGATCCTAAGGCATTCCCCAACCAGAGAGGATATATAATCCCTCTGGTGAGTTCTGGGTCTGCCTGGTTGTCTCAATCTATCTGCCGCTCCATCCTACCATCACTTGCGAACAGGATGTCCAGATTAGGGCTGCCACGATTAATCGATTAATCGACGACTAATCGATTATTAAAATAATCAATGACTAATTTAATTAGTCATTAGATTATTATTAATTATTAATCGTTTTCTTTCTTTTTTTGTTGTTCTTTACTTTGTTTTTCTCTCCAAACTGCTTTGACACCTTCCACTGCCACATCTGCCTTTCTGTCCTTGACACACATGCACAGTAGTGG